CTTTGAAATTTTGAACATAGTCATACACTATGAAGGTCTACAGCATGATATATAAGAATTATCATAAAAGCATGCGCATGCGCATGTGCTGCAATCTGATTGGCTGAAACTTTAAATGGCTATAACTCCTTTGGTTATCAACCAAACAGGATGGGATTTAGAACATAGATAGACATAATGGATCCTTACAAGAAGGTAAGGTCATCATGCACATGCATGCACGTGCGTGCACGTGAAATGAGTAAATTTTATATACACTTGAATTAGCGTGTTTTTTTTAAACTTTTGAATTAAATGCTATAATATTTAGTATATTAAAATATATAGATAGTGTAGACAAGTTGATAGGGTCATTACGCACATGCATTCACATGCGCAAGCGTGCAAAGCTGAAATTTAAAGATACTTGGTATACTTCTGGGAAAACGTTGTTAAAAGTCTAAAATGCATAGAGTTTGCCTTATTTAATGAAGCTTACAGGGAATATGGCACAAAAAGGGAGTTGGGGAGCGTTTGGGGAACATCTGTAACGGTCCCCGTTACAATTAGAACTAGTTATTATTATTTTTCTTCTTCCTGGGAAAATTTTGTCCACGAGTGATCTTGTAAACTACACATCCGACTAAGGTAAAATGTTTTTAGGGTCAGTAGACATGTAAAGTAGATTTGCCGAACGAAGGTCATTTTGCGCGCACGTGCTTGCAAGGGCGTGCACGTGCAACACGTGAAATGACCAATATAATTGATATTGCTGTAACTTTTCTTTTTCTTGATAATTTTTTTTGAAACTCATAATGTAAGGATACATTAGTAGTATAGACAAGATGGCATGGCCAAAATAGCAAGATCTCATGCGCATGCACGTGCGCTTCGCTCTGATTGGCTGAAACTAAAGTCTCAATATCTTTCTTGTTTCTTGTCATAATCTTTTGAAATTTTGAACATAGTCCTACATTATGAAGATCTACAGCATGATATATAAAATTTTTCATGAAAGCATGCGCATGCGCGTGTGCTGCAATCTGATTGGCTGAAACTTTAAATGGCTATATCTCCTTTGTTTTTTTATAAAATGCTTTGAAATTTAAAACATAGTTATGCATTAGGATATCCTAAAATATGATATTGAAAAAAATCATGAAATCACGCGCATGCACGTGTGCTGCAATCTGATTGGCTGAAACTTTATATGGCTATATCTCCTTTGTTTTTTGACGAAATGTTTCAAATTTTAAAATATAGTCATTCATTTAGATATCCTTCAATACGATAAAGATAAAAAATTATGAAATCACGCGCATGCATGTGTGCTGTAATCTGATTGGCTGAAACTTCAAATGGCTATAACTCCCTTGTTTTTCAACCAAACAGGATTGGATTTAGAACATAGATAAATATAAGGGACTCTTACAAGAAGGTGTAGTGATTATGCACGTGCTTGCGCATGCGTGCACGTGAAATGAGTAAAATTAAAAATACACTCAAATGAATGTATTTCTTAATACTTTTGGATTTAATGCTTTGATATTAAGTATATTAAAATTTGAGATAGTGTAGACAAGATAATATGGTCGTTACGCACATGAACACGCGTGCAATGCCTATTTTTAAATATATTTTGTATTTTTCTGGGAAGACCTTGATTAAGTTTAAATTCCATAAAGTATTTGTTATCTAATAGAGATTACAGGGAATATGGCACCAAAAGGGAATTGGGGAGCGTTTGGGGAACATCTGTAACGGTTCCCGTTACAATTAGCACTAGTTATTATGTTCCCCAAACGAAGTTGGGGAACATATTGTTTTTACTCTGTTTCTTATTATTATTATTCTTATTATTATTATTATTATTTTTCTTCCTGGGAAAATCTTTTCCGCGAGTGATCTTGTAAACTACACATCCGACTTAGGTGAAACCTTTTTAGGGTAAGTAGGCATGTTATGTAGATTTGCAGAATCAAGGTCATTTTGCGCGCACGTGCTTGCAAGAGCGCGCACGTGCAAAACTTAAAATGACCAATATATAATGGATATAACCGTAATTTTTCTATTTTGTGACGAAATGTTTTGAAACTTATAATGTAAGGATATATTAGTAGTATGCACAAGATAACATGGTCAAAATAGCAAGATCGCACGCGCATGCACGTGCACTTCGCTTTGATTGGCTGAAACTAAAGTCTCAATATCTTTCTTGTTTTTTGATAAAATCATTTGAAATTTTGAACATAGTCATACAATAGGGAGATCTACAGCCTGTAATATAAGATTTATCATGAAAGCATATGCACATGTGCTTGCAAGAGCTCGCACGTGCAACACGAGAAAAGTCCAATATAATTGATACAGACGTAACTATTTAAATTATTGATGAAATGCTTTGAAATTCATATAATAAGTATATATTAGAAGGATAGACAAAATGACATGGTCAAAAAAGTAAGATTTTACGCGCATGCACGTGCGCTTCGCTCTGATTGGCTGAAACTGAAGTCTCAATATCTTTCTTGTTTCTTGTCATAATCCTTTGAAATTTTGAAGATAAACCTACATTATGAAGATCTACAGCGTGATATTTAAGAATTTTCATGAAAGCATGTGCATGCCCGCGTGCTGCAATCTGATTGGCTGAAACTTTAAATGGCTATATCTCCTTTGTTTTTTGACGAAATGCTTTGAAATTTAAAACATAGTCATGCATTAGGATATACTACAATATGATGTAGAAAAAAAATCATGAAATCATGCGCATGCACGTGTGCTGCAATTTGATTGGCTTAAACTTGAAATGGCTATAACTCCCTTGTTTTTCAACCAAACAGGATGGGATTTGGAATATAGATAGATATAAGGGACTTCTACAAGAAGGTATGGTCATCATGCACGTGCACGCACGTGCGTGCATTTGGAACGAGTGAAATGAAAAATACGTTTGAAAGAGTGATTTTTCATACTTTTGGACTGAATGCTTTAATATATTGTATATTAAGATATGTAGATATTGTAGACAAGATGATATGATCATAACGCACATGCATTCACATGCGCACGGGTGCAATGCTAAAATTTGAATATAATTGGTATCCTTCTGAGAAAACGTTGTTAAAGTCATAAATGCACAGAGTTTGTCTTATTTAATGAAGCTTATAGGGAATATGGTACCAAAAAGGAGTTGGGGAGCGTTTGGGGAACATCTGTAACGGTCCCCGTTACAATTAGCACTAGTTATTATTTTTCTTCTTCTTCTTCCTGGGTACTTTTTTGTCCGGGAATGATCTTGTAAACTGTTCGTCCGATGTAGGTAAAACCTTTTTAGGGTCAGTAGACATGTTATGTAGATTTGCGGAATCAAGGTCATTTTGCGCGCACGTGCTTGCAAGAGCGCGCACGTGCAACACGTGAAATGACCAATATATTAGATATAGCCGCAACTTTTCTATTTTTTGATGAAATGCTTTGAAACTCATAAAGTGAGGATATATTAGTAGCATACACATGATGACATGGTCAAAAGAGCAAGTTCTCACGCGCATGCACGTGCGCTTCGCTCTGATTGGCTGAAACTAAAGTCTCAATATCTTTCTTGTTTTTTGACAAAAACCTTTGAAATTTTGAACATAGTCATACATTATGAAGATCTACAGCATGATGTATAACAATTATCATAAAAGCATGCGCATGCACATGTGCTGCAATCTGATTGGCTGAAAGTTTATATGCCTATAACTTTCTTGGTTCTCAACAGAACGGGATGAAATTTATAATATGGATAGGTATGATGGATTGCTACATTATACTTATATCAGAATTGAATGCAAGGACACGCATGCATGCACGTGCACGCGCACAATACGCAAAATAACCAATATATTTGAAAAACGGTAACATCTATATTTTTATTATTTTTCTTATTGATTCTCACGACATAAGGAAATGTTAATGGTTTAGACAACATGCCATGATCATCTTGCATGTGCATGCACGTGCGTGCGCGTGCAATGAGTTAAATGGCATATAGTCGGTATCATTGTAGCTTTAATAACTTTTATATGAAATCCTTTGATACTGAGCATATATTCTAAAAATGTCTCACAGGAAATTGGCACAAAAAAAAAGGGATTTGGGGAGCGTTTGGGGAACATCTGTAACGGTCCCCGTTACAATTAAAACTAGTTCAATTTAAGATATGTGGAATTGTTTTGAAGAAAGGTGTAATATGACTGAAGATATATGCAAATACTTAAAATTAAAGATTAAGAAAAATTGATAAAAGATAAAATCAATTGAATTGAAGCTAGGTTAAATTGAAATGTACCTATCTTTAAATCATTTGTAGAAATGTTTCATTTTACAAATATCTTATCTATTGTGCCTACCTGGTGTAAAGAAATACTTAAAATTCAATCACACCCAAGTTGACCCAACTGTAATTGAATTTGGAGAAGCCAGTCAAAGCGTCCCCTATTAAAACCGTCCCAGTCCAAGCGCCCCTTGATTTTGGTCAAAACACCACTTATAGAACTTTACAGTAAAATGATGTTACAAAACCACCCCCAAATATTGGTGAGAGAGTCTCCTTATAGAATTTTACAGTAAAATGATGTTACAAAACCGCCCTCAATACCAGCAGTTTCGTCATAATTTCGCAAGTTCTTTGGTCGATACAATAACCTTGTCAGCAAATACAATTTATCAAACGTTTTTCTAACTAATTGTTTGGGCATTAAAGACACACTGAATTGTCGACGGATTTTTCCGTTAAGTCAAGATCGTGACAAGGAACACACGCCGGATGTGACCGGTTAGCAGGGGATGCTCACTCCTCCATGGTACCTGATACCACCTCTGATGTTTTGGAGGTCTGAGTTTGCTCTGCTCCAAATTTGTATTGTTTAATGGACTTTTGAGCTTGAATACTGTTCGCGATCTCCATATATTTTATTGAAATTAATCGTAAAAACTATGCATGTAAACGTTTTATGGTTGGAGTAAATCTTAAATCATCTACGTAGGTTTTCCAAAGTAATTTTATTACATGACCTACCTGTAAGTGCTTCAGTAGTAGGCGGTTGTGTTGGCACTGCTGTTGAGGGTCGTTTTGTTGGTGCTACAGTTGAAGGTTGTCGTGTTGGTGCTGCGGTCGAAGGTTGCTGTGTTGGTGCTGCAGTTGAAGGTTGCTGTGTTGGTGCTGCAGTTGAAGGTTGCTGAGTTGTTGGTGCTGCAGTTGAGGGTTGTTGTGTTGGTGCTGCAGTGGAAGGTTGCTGTGTTGGTGCTGCAGTTGAGGGTTGTTGAGTTGGTGCTGCAGTTAAAGGTTGCTGTGTTGGTGCTGCAGTCGAAGGTTGCTGTGTTGGGGCCGCTGTCGAAGGTTGCTGTGTTGGTGCTTTGGTGGTTGGTGTTGGCATTGAAGTTGAAGGTCTGGGTGTCAGAGTTTGGCCATTTCTATTAATAGTACACGTTCCAGTTGGCATAGGAAGAGTATCGAAGTCAACTTGAAACCTCAAATTGATTTCATTTTGCCTCGCAGGCCATCTGCTTTTTAACTTATACCATAGCCCGTTTGTCTGTTGATTTTCAATATCCATTGTCCAATCCTATAACAAACATAATTCTTTAAGTTAAAATCAATCTACCTTTATAAAATTTGATTTCTAGTTACCCAGAGTTAGTGCGGATAGTATGATAGAAATTGAGATAGTCTAGTCATCAAATAAATGAATACACTTCTGATACCGTCATGTCAGAAGTTTCTTTGTCAAATTCCACCATGATATTATAGGAGTTAAGAACTGGGTTAATCTGGAATGTACAGACTCCGGTCATTCTATAGCGATTTCCAACACTCCAATGTTGTCCCTCTACGGATATCGGTATGACGTCAGGAAATGATCCTGATATTGCTGTTGTAGATGATCGTGGTCCTGACGTTGCAGTGGGTTGTTGTGTAACTGACGTGGTACTTGCTTGTGGTGACGCTGACGCATGCGTAGTGGGTGATTGTGTTGTTGTAGATGGTGGTGTTATGTTACTGATGCATCTTCCCTTCGGAAACCTCTTCTTGTTACCTCTGTATGTCAAAATGAATTCTACTTTAAGCATCGTGTTGGAATATGGATATTTGCTTGATAATTCATATGCCCGTCCCTTATTTAGTATTTTGTCGATGTTCATGATCCATATCTGTTTGAAAAAATAAAAAAGATAAGCTTTATTGCATGTTTTTGACTGTTAAAAATGCCATTTTTGAACATTTTTTTTCAGAATTTGAAGGAGTGAAACCTGTCACTGTCACAAACATTTGTTCCGAATAGACAAGGATTGTTCAGAATGATTGGGTATTAACAGAAATGAAAACAAATTCATCATACATCTAGCCCTATATGGCCCTTTATACAGAGAGCAGCTGAAACATCACTGTTTAGTGTAATCATTCGTCACCGGTGTAGACGGAGGATGCTGTATCACTCATGGCGACAAAAAGAGATATTTACATTTCCAATGTCTTTGTCGGAGATAAAATTACCAAATGTAAATGTACTTTATTTCTCCATCAATGTATTGGCGTGGTTCCAAAAAAAAAACACGTGCAGGGCGGGACAAACAGCTAGACAGAAGCAGGGCTTGGAGCATTATCACGCAAGCCAATCGATTGATCACTTCATGAAATCGAAAAATAAGACAGTTATTCCTTAAATACAGACACTGCGTGCTTCAGAGTAAGATAACAAAAAAATTACAACAGTTGCGCAGGTCAGTGCAGTATACAAACAAAAATATGCGTAACTGCAATAAAATTTAATCAATTGTAATGCAGATAACCAGCAGGAACATGGGTCGCCATTCCACGCCAATACTCGTGACAATAAAGCAGCCAAGTGTAACGGATGCGAAGAGTATACACCGGTGCTGATATTATAGATAGTAAATAGTAATATCAAAAATATGTAAAATGACGTAAGTCTATTTATATACTAGTCGTGTTCAGCTTAATTTTCTTTGTGTATGTTAGGATGCACGTAGTTTAGTAGTTTTCTAAAGAGTTCAGCTGCAAATTGATTTATAATGGTTGAGTGATGAAAAGAGGAGTATGCATATCCTGAGGCTAGCTAAAGAGCTTTACAACATATAAAGATCACATTTGTCATGGATCATTGTATGCTTAATTTTTTTTCTTTTTAATAAGTAGAAAAGAGATGAAATTTGCGAATTGATTAAAAAATATCCTACCTGAAGATTTCTAGTAGGTTTGTTAAAGATGAGGTCTATTTTAATTTCTCCCGCGTCTCTGGATTCGTTCAGTTCGAACACGCACCATCCTTTCATTTTCCGTGCAGTCCTTGTATCTCCCCAGACATTCCCATTCTTTACGGGTACCTCGTACATTGCACTCACACCCACCCATAAAGCCGTTAGTATTGATAAAATATACCTAGATTAGAAGGAAATTTCTCATTTGAGTTACTAAGCATGAAGAAATTTCAAATTAATAAAATGCACTTCATTGTTAGCTGGTAGTTAATTCATGATACTGGTTGGTGACTTGGTTCCTATTGCTTGGAATTTGGCAAAAGTTCCTTTAGTTTATATTCAAAAGAGAAAATCTGAGATAGGGTGTATATAGTAAATAGTGATGGGAGTTAAAAAAAACGTAAATATTTTGAATGGGAGCTGGTATTTTACAAATCAAAAATTATTTTAAAAAAAAAGGATTTTACCTAAAGGCTTATACGACAGGACAACGATAAAAACTTAACATCGAAGTCTTACGCATGAAATGTTCCAAGTGTATAATCGTTTTCTTTAAAAAAAAATCTCAGTTTAAAAAATTCAGTGACCTGTCTACAGTAGATTTGCTGTCTGTGACAATTTTTATAAAATGCAAGATATGTATTGCAATCGAATTTTCATGACAGTACTGTCAGAAAGAGGTAAAGCCACGAACCATCATATTTGGCCCTGTGTTTTTCACAAAATTCGAGTTTCTATTCGTGGCTGGTATTATACGTTAATTATTACAGGACAACATACTTCTTTTCCTTGCATAACTCATTTTGTTAAATAACGCGCTGTTAGGCACGTGCGATGGTTTGAAGATGCGACGGTTTCATAAAAACGTTCAAAAACGCCGATTTTTCGACAGATTTTCCCTAAATTAAGTGTGGCCACAGTCAAGAACAACTTTCATACTTACCATATGTATTAATATTGCTGATACGAATCTAAATGCTTAATATCATCGTTGTTCACACGTGTGGCCAATATGAAATATGACTTTACATTTAAATTTTGATGTCGCAAATATTCACAAGTTTTGATAAACATTCAGTAATATTTAGTTTATATAACAATAGTGGTATAAAAATTAAACACAATATATTTTAAAAAATAGTCAGTAGTTCGTTTGAAACGATATTTGTAGAGAGGCATGATCTTCGATTTATATTATCTGAATTCAAAACTCAAAAAACATATGTTACATTTCTCTTCGTCGGTCTTTGAACATGACGTTAAAAGTAATACATATACGTCAATTGTGACGTCATAAAGACTGTAATTATATTAGGCACGGTGCTCTTTCAAAAAATTGATTTTTTTTCAAGATGAATCACTTAGATTTTAATCGATATCATCAAATTATTAACAGAGGTCTATTTCTATCATCACCAATTTCATCCCCTTTCAATCGCCTGTTTTCGTTTTAAAGCTGTACACTATCTTCGTTTTAAATAATTTAACTATAGATACTATACTGTTATTCTAAAGACAAATCTTAATGCTGCTTTACATGATTACTAGATTACTTGCTTGTAAATACTTAAGAGAAACAGAATCGGATCTAGATTTTTTTCAGAAGGGGGATTGAAGAGGAATAGAGTTGTTATAAGGTACGCTTACATAAAGATAAAAAGATCTAGGGATGTAGTATCGTTTTAAAAGTGGGAGAGTCATCAGACTGGGAAAAATTATGGACTTAGTACCTGAAAGTTTTTGACAAAGGAAAGAGAATAAATCTAAAATCTCTGAACCCGTAAATCCAATTTTGTTTTCACAATCGAATTTCTACATTTGTTACTACATGAGCACAACAAAAATTTGAGACTCTTTTTAGCAAATTCAAAGAATGGAACTCCCCCCCCCTTCTGGATCCATATCACTGTATAAACTGATAAACAGGGAATATCATAATCACGTCTGATAAAGCAAAAGTATATTGTGTTACCTTGCTTCTAAAATATTAATTTAAAAAAAGAAATAATGTACGAAATTAAAGGATTTTGATATTTTTAAAAATTGTCTGCAATTCCATAAAACAAAGTCTTGAACTTGGATGAGTATATGGGTCAATTTCAAGTTCCTTATTACGAGAGGTAGAGCAAGCACTGTTGCATATTATAGCCGCAATTTACATACGTTTATCAGCCATCGATCTATTTTACTTTTAAACAAAATCTTCTGAAATAATTTTATGCAGGTGTAGAAAAGTAAATTTTCTTCCTACTTCAAAAGCAAAAATCTTATCAATGATGCCGTGCTTAGCTTCGCACGGAGGGTATAGATGTATGTACATATGTATACTGATATTTTCATCAATATATATTTCAAACAATTATAATTCCATGTGGTAGAAATATAAAATACAGAAATATGTCAGCATATTGGTGTGTCTTAGAATTCAGTATTTATAAAATATTTTCGCAATGCCCCCTTTGCTTTAAATATTTACCTGTATAGGTTTTCCAAATATTTCATAAGTAATCTGTCCTACAGGTCGTTAGTAAGTTGGAGGTAGATGCAAGGGCAAATCTAGAGAAATTATACCTACATACACAATCGAAAAAAAAATCAATTTTTACAAGTGAAAAACTGACGAAGTGAAATAAATCTATTCAATAGTGTTTCGGGGGATGGGCGTTTTCATTCATAAATACTTGCATAACTTGATTATTATGATCAAAAGGTAGGGTAATTTATTTTCTCACAACATATCACAACAGCGGGGGTGATCTTTAATATTCTTTATTGTTAAAAAATATAACATAGATCTTTAACTGCATAACATATAACTAGCCTTGATCTACACTTGAACGGAATTACATATATTCCAGTTTCCGCTCAAAAGGGGTATCAAACATTATATAAAATGACAACAGTTATTTCACACACGGGGTGTCCAAGAATATCAGACACACGGGGTGTCCAAAAATATCAGAATTATCTCGTGCATGTAATTTCGTTGCCTTCAGAGATCGTAATTTTAAAATATGCTAACTTGGTATTTAGGATGTGTAATTTTCACATTTTTCTCTCTATCCCCGAGATGATAGCGATTTGAAAGGAATTAGTTGAATTGGTATAAACGTTAACTCCTTTGTCTGTATACCCGGTATTCATCCATGCGCGGATCTAAATGAAGAAACTGGGATTTGCAGAATTTTAAATACCTATACTAAACTAAGTAAAATTGACCTTGGATCCCTCCTAGATGACACTGAAACCCTGGAATCTGTGTTGAGTTTGTGTTACATTAAAAGTTTAGACTTTATCAAGTTAAACTTATCTATAACAGTCTAGCTTCCTGATTGGTCAATGAGAGCAATTCCGAATTAAGCCGGGTGGAAAGCGAATTCATGAAATTCACTTTCCATCCGATGCTAAAAGAATAAAGTTGTAAAATTAATATAAAGGAATTTGTTTCTCTTTTCCATCAGGTAAGCTTGAATAAGTTTATTTTAAGTATTTTCAGTACATTTTCTTTCAAACATTGTTTTATGCTATTTTGATTCTGGATAAGCAAAAGTTTTATTATTTTTAAAATTTGATGAAATTAGAGTTTGTCACTTTTATATAATTTTTGAAGTGTTTGCATTTGTAATTGGTTATCTTAGTTGTTTTATACTGATTTATTTTACCTAGATATGTTTTGTAGTGTTTACTTTGAAAAGAAAATAATGATTTGTCAATTGAAACATTTATGTAAATTTTC